CAGAAGACATCAATAGGAAAAGAAAAATAAGAACTTTCCCTGCCAGGGTTGCCTAGTTACCTTGTCAACATTCCCTTGCAGCCCAGCCAAATTCTCTCTGCATATTTTTATAGTGCACATGTTTTATTGCTATAATTGATCTATTAAGCAGAAAATATGGAGAACACATGGAGCTCCTGTCAATTTTATGCTGTTTATTTGGGTTTCCATTTTTCTCTTTCCACAAGACTTCATTCTTCATTGTCCTTTTCATTCCCAACTGGAGTAATCCTGTGAAGAAATCACATCACTAGCCATGGTGGTGCATTTAACTTTGTGGCTTATAAAGCAAAAGCCAATACACCAACCTCAAACCAGACAGCAGATTGTGGACTTTTCAAAGGCAGACACCAAGTTTTCGTTAGCTCTGTGTCTGTGGTGCCTAGCCTTGAGTCTGGCACATTAAAGGTCCTTAGTAGATATCCATTGATTGAATGAGCAATTGGCTTCAGAATTTTATTGAGAACCAGCATCATACTGGATGCTATTCATAACATAAAAACAAAACTTAGGACTTGTTCTTCATTTCGGAGACTGGACAAGGACAGAGAATAACAACTGTGTTGTTGCTAACGTTACATTAACATCAGCCAAAGAAGCTTTCCTGCACGAGGCTGCGGCCCTATTAGCGGCGTCCACGTTCTGTCTGGCATTTATGGAGAGCTATTCACTGGCTGCCTCCTGGGTTCTGGGCACTGTGCTCTCCAAATCAGTCCAGTTCAATAGACCTGGTCATGGGCACCATCTGTCATGGCATTTGTATTCAAAACAGTGAGTTTCCCCCCATTCTTCTTAAACACACACACACACACACACACACACACACACACACAACTGAAGACAATGATTATGAAGCAAACTGTTGACGAAACAACAAATGGAAATTTATGTTGTCATCCCTTTGCCCAGCCAGTCAGGCAGCCCTCCAACTCTGTGCTCCTCAAAGTGTATACTTCTGAGATTTTGTTAAAGTGCAGACTTAGATCTGCTAGGTCTGGGGCGAGGCGTGAGTGCATGCATTTCTAACAAGCTCTCTTAGTGACCTAAAGTGTCCTCCAAGGACAGTAGATTTGACATCACCAGGGAGCTTGTTAGAAATGCAGATGCTGGGATGCCTGGGTGGCTCAGTGGGTTAAAGCCTCTGCCTTCAGCTCAGGTCATGATCTCAGGGTCCTGGGATTGAGCTCCGTGTCAGGCTCCCTGCTCAGCGGGGAGCCTGCTTCCTCCTCCTTTCTCTCTCTCTGCCTGCCTCTCTGCCTGCTCGTTATCTCTCTTTGTCAAATAAATACATAAAAAATCTTATCTAAAAAAAAAACAAAAAGAAATGCAGATGCTTAGACCTCACCCCAGACCTACTGGATCTGAACCTGCATTTTAGCAAGATCCCAGCTTCACATTGGTGAAGCACTGCTCTAACCCTTTAATAAGCACAGTGTATAAATTATGGGCAGGGGTCTTGATGGGGCTCTGAGTTGGTCAGTAAGGCCAGGTGGGTTTCCTGTTCCCTTGTCCATTTCAGAACTCCTCTGGGTATCTGCCCTAATACAGCATTTGACAGTCAAATAAAGACATAGGTGCCTTTTGGTTCAGCTATTCAGTGGTGTGATGAAATTGTTATTATCCATTCTGGATTGCCGATGTTTTTAAACATGGGAGACCAACCACCAATCTGTCCCGTCTCCAGGGAACTTTATTCTAGGTGAAAAAGTTTGAGCAGAAGACACATCCTCGTGTTTGAGCATGTCAGAATGGTTAATGTGAGCGCTAGAGGAGACCCAGAGTTTGTTTCCTTATCCGTAAAATTAGAGATAAAAAAATACCACCTGTTCTAGCTTCCTTTCTAGTCTTGTTGTGAGGAGCTTTGAAAACATAAAAATGTTCATGAGATTTTAAAGCAGTGTTAGTGAGAAAAAAAATCACGTTTGTTTCAGTGCCAAAGAGTTCTGGGTTCAAAATTTAGCCTTACCACCTACCAATTTTGTGATTTATGCCAAATTATTTAATCTACTTCAGCCTCAGTTTCTTTCTATGCTAAGTGGTCATAGAAACATCCACCATACAAGACTGCAGTGGGGATTAAAATGGTAATAATATACGTAAACAATCTGGTGCATAGTAGAGTTTAATAAATGGTACACAGTCACGGCACATTAAGGGACATGATTGAGAAATAAAACTTGCAAAGATGATTTTTTTTTCCCCCTCCAGTAAAGCCTTTTACATTGAGGCAAAAAGGAGGCATGACTTTCAAGCTGGTTAAAGTCCTGAATAAATGCCCAGCCAGTTCAAGAGACTGATAGCTTCAAGTTGATTATCTAAGTGTCTCTGGAAGAAAAATCTCTAAACTTCATATGAGGTTTTACTATTTACTGAAGTGTTTGTGAGTACCAGCCACTGCCGGGCTCTGTGACAAGGAGTCCCTGTGATTATTCTGTGTCATTCACGCCCTGTCCTCAGAGGTGCTAGCAGGTCTTCCCCAGGTGTGCATAGGAGCCTGCCGGTGTATGGAGGAAGGTTTCAGCTTGGTGTCCATGCAGGCAGATCCTCCAGGCCCCAGGGAAACAGCCCAGCAAGTGGTAGCAAGGGTCATGTAAGGCAATGAAAGAAGATTGTTCTGAGGACCGTGGTAACTGATGGCCCCCTCATTGTCAGAATAACAGAACAGCAAGTCTTACTTGCTGGAGACAAGAAGGGGCGGCTGGTGGGTGGTTGCTGCTTTTCTGTCAGCAATTAAGCCTTTGTGATACAGAGGGACTATTGTTTTGTTCTTTTTTTTTTTTTTTTAAGATTTTATTTATTTATTTGAGAGAGAGAGCCGGGGAGCCGCAGGCAGAGGGAGAAGCAGCCGCGTGGAACATGATCCCAGGACCCCTGAGATCACAACCTAAGCCGAGGGCAGACGCTTAACCGACTGAGCCACCCAGGCATCCTGAAGTTGGGTTTTTAAAAAAGATTTAATTAATTTTTTTATTTGAGAGAACGAGAGAGAGAGTGTGTGTGTGTGCACACGCAGGGGGAAGGGCAGAGGAGGAGGGAGAGACAGAATCCTGAGCAGCCTCTGTGCTGAGCATAGTGCCAAGTCAGGCTCCATCTCGAGACCCCTGACTCCATGACCTTAGGCTTCACTGACTGGGCCACCCAGGCACCCCACTGTTGGGTATTTTAAAAGAAAAAGAAAAAAAAAAACAAAACCCTCACCATCCCTTCTCTATCTTCCCAACCTCTAGCTCATATTTTTTGGAAAAGCACTTTTAGGGCCCTCAGTTTTCTCATCTTTCCAGGCCAACCAGGCCTTTGGGAAGGTATTTCTTTCAGGGAAAGATTGCCTCTTTCTTTTCCTGAGGTTTGCAGAGTTTGCATGGTGATTTCCTTCGTGGTGATAGTTTGAAGCACCCCAGCAATGTGATTTCACAGACGATCTGAGGCAGAGAGGGCCACAGAACCTGCTTTTCCACATGGATCTCTTTGTGGGAGGTGTTTGTGCTCAATGCCATGTGAGGAGGAGGAGGAAAACCCCACTTGGTCCCTGTGGCATTTCAGTGGAAAGAAAGCTAATAGGAAGAGAGAGAGATAAGAGGGAGGCAGTGAGCAGACAGGGGCTGTGGAGGGTGGCCGGAGGAGGCAGACACCTGAATCATCAGTGGTTCTGAGCACAGAGCAGCCTGTGAGAGGGAGTACACATGTCTCAGGTGTTTTTGATTTTACACTTTTACCTAAATAACGTAAGGTTGAATGCGTCGCCAAGCCATGTTTGAGTGTGGAATAGCAGAACCCCATCTGAGTGGGGGCAAATGCAACACAGTGGGATCCGTGCCCCAAGTCCATTGGAGTAGATTCTGTCATGGGCTCTTCTGAATCTGGCCACAGCTGGTGGTCCATTGTGCTAGGAGGTGATCCATGGATGGTTCAGTTATCTGCTGTCTGTTTCCAAGCCACAGGACACCATCTTTACATCCAGCCAGTCAATACTTGTGGTCTTTAGGGAATTTGTGGATGGAAGGTCTGGGTTAAAGGGGTTTCAGGAACCAGCAAAAAAGAAAGGTTGAAGGACATCACTTTTTAGAATATAAGGCTGCGTGCAAAGAACATTTACTAAGAGTCAAGAAACTTGATTTTGGTCCTAATTATGCCCATGATAGCTATGGGACATTGTTAGGCAAGTAACTTTATCTCTTAGAGATCCAGGGATAGTGACAACTACTACAAATCTACTATAAACCACGTTAGGATTTTGTAAGGTCAAATGAGGTAGTAAAGAGAGCACAGAAGACCAAAACTACACTTTCCAAAATGGTAGCCATTAGCTGCATGTGGCTATTTGAATTTCAATTTGTTCAAGTTCGATAACATGAGAAATTCATTTCCTCAGCCACACTAGCCACATTTCATGTGCTCGCTAGCCACATACGGCGAGTGGGGACCATATTGGACAGCAAAGATATAGAACATTTGCATTATTACAGAAAGTTTTGTTGTACACCCATGCCTCAGAGCTCTAGGTTATGACAGCAAAGATGAAAAGGATGAAATATTATAGAGGTGATACATGCTGTCAGAGTTAAGGATTCTTGGAAAGAAAGAAAAACCCTCTGAAGTCAGTTTAAGTAAACCAAGAGATTAATTTTTTTTAAAGATTTTATTTTTTTATTTGAGAGAGAGCACTCGAGAGAGTGAGCATGCACAAGTAGGGGGCAGAGCGAGGGGAAGAAGGATTCTTGGAGAATCCGTTAGCCTATGACCACAGACGAAGAGTTGTGAGAGATTTGATCAAGGCCATGAAGAAAAAGAGTTATTTGTGTGGTTTGAATCACCATTACACATGTTTGGGGGTCTGGCATGTCTTCAGTATCTTTATACCTGGGTGGAAGTAGGTACTGGCAGAAGCAAGGTGGAAATCAGATCTCAGCATTTGTCATTTCCTACATGCAGATTGGATGCTAATAAGACTCTTTTCTCTACAGCCTTTAGGAAGAAACATGAGGTTCTCTTGGAGACTATTCAAAAGGAAGATGGAGGGGGCCGCCTAAAAGAGATTAAAAGCTGCAGACCGCAAGCCTGGGGCCAGAGGGCTGGCAGTGGAAAACCCTGCTGGGTTGTGACCTCTCCCTGAAAAGTTCTAGGTGCCTTTTTGCTTCTTGCAAAAAAAAGGAAGAGAAGGAGAAGACCATGTCCATAGCCTTGAAGCAAGTGTTCAACAAGGACAAGACCTTCCGGCCCAAGAGGAAGTTTGAACCTGGCACGCAGAGATTTGAGCTCCACAAACGGGCTCAGGCATCCCTCAACTCCGGCGTGGATCTGAAGGCAGCTGTGCAGCTGCCCAGTGGGGAAGACCAGAACGACTGGGTGGCGGTGCATGTGGTGGACTTCTTCAATCGGATCAACCTCATCTATGGCACCATCTGCGAGTTCTGCACTGAGCAGACCTGCCCTGTGATGTCAGGGGGCCCCAAATATGAATATCGGTGGCAGGATGACCTCAAGTACAAGAAGCCAACTGCCCTCCCAGCTCCTCAGTACATGAACCTTCTTATGGATTGGATTGAGGTCCAGATCAACAATGAGGACATATTTCCAACCTGTGTGGGTAAGTCTGTGGCCGGCTTCTTGTGTATTTTTGGTGCATCCCACCCAAGCTCAGAAAGTTTGCAGAGGCTTCTTCTAGGACTGTCTTTGAATGCTGGGTAACACCATGTCGATGTTTCCTTAAATTCCACCATACCTGCAGTGTCTTTTTCCATATCCAAGAACCTCCTTGAAATTAAAAAAAAATTAGTGGACTACTTATATTTATTTTGTGGACCTCAGTGGTACACATACCACATGCTAGGGAACATTGTCTTGGTGAAATGTTAGATTTGATCTTGCTGGTTTTCTTAGGACTAGACTCCAAACAAACCCACCTAGTTATCCTCATAGAATTTTTATATTTTGGCTAACTAACTAGTTAAAGTTGCATTAACTCTGGTGCATTTATTGGTATTCATCTCTCAGGTTGGAGAATCCCAGTGTGAGAATCTGCTTGTTTGGGGATCAAGCAAACAGGGGTTGGCCTTCCAGGGAAATAGAGGTCCTGGCATTCTGTTCTGCCCACTCTTGATCATTTGTTATTAATTCCAGGCTGTACTGTTAACTGTAGACACTCGTGTAAGCTGCTGGACCCACTAGGACACTTGAGATGAAAATGCTTTCATTTGCTTGGTGCTCTGAGCCATAAAACTCATCAAGGAGGAGGACGAAACCTTCTTTCCCTTTTATATTTCTTTATGCTGCTGATAATTGGATTTGTCTATGCACTGACAGGCCAAATTTAAAATTCAGGTTTGTTTGTTGTGTTTGTTTTTGTTTTTTAGGCCCAAGATTCACTAGGAATGAGCAATCTCCTACTTCTACTCTTGTGTTTCCAGGGTCTAATATGGTACCCTGGAACCTTTGTAGGCAATCAGGAAATATTTGTGGAATGACTGAGAAAATACTTGTGCTGTTGGACAGTAGTATTAAAAAGCTCTGAGATGGTTTGGGATATAAAAGAGGCATTTGGAACACATTGCTGAAATCCCCTCTAGATGGGATGTATGTGTCCCCATGTGGCATATGCGAAATGGAGGTGGGGGGTATGGAAGTAATTAAGCTAATACCAGGGGGAGAGAAGCATATGCATTGATTAGGGCAGTATGGACATCTTGAAATATTCAGCACACAGACCAATTGGCTCAGAATCAATGTGCTCCCTTGACTTGTCCAGCTCCCTCATGTTCCTGCTCTGTGCCGTTCCTTGCTAAGGAAGGAGGTGGCATGTGGGGTTGTGCAAATTCCCTTGCCTCACCAGCACAGAAGGAAGAAGGCAGGGTTCCAGGACTCCCCCAGCCATCTAATAGGCACCTCAGGGGGATGGGAAGCTCTTAGGTTCCTATCTTTTTATACTTTCATTGACTGTCTGAGGCTTCTTTTGTTGCTAGGAGGAAATTTCCCCAACTGCCAATGCTCTGTGCTGAACATGTGATAGCAATAAAGATAAATAAATGTGGGCAAAGATACATCCTCTTTGTCTTTCCCCTTCTGTTTCTGCTCCTTGATGCTTTGAACTCTGGGCACTTTGACTGTCTCTGGCAGCTGTGGTTACCACATAGAGTTGGTGACCACAAATAACATCGCAGAGCCATGGTGTGTTACTTGAGAGTAAGGAAGCTTCTGGCAGTCTGCTTGGAAACTAGGACATCATAGATGGCTTTAGACTTTACTAGGAGGAAATCAGCGGATGCCGCCATATCCCCCTGAGTCATTGACGTTGCTGTCTTTTTCCAGACATTTCCTTAGCCATTCAGTGGGCTTGCAGAACATACTCACCTGGTCAGAATCCTCTGTTTCAGCTCTGCCCAACCTTTGCTCCATAGTACATAGTTCTAAGAGATCTAAATAGGGGCACCGTAATTTTTTTTTTTTCGTGCATGAGAAATAAGTTGGAAAGTGCTGAGTGAAAACAGTTTCTTTACTGCAGGACTTTTAATGTGCTAATGTACGTTATAAATCTCCGAGAAAGGAATATTTTGTTTAGTATGTAGTATTTCCTAATTTGAACCAGTACTTTTTTTTTTTTTTTTAATGAAGCGCCATTAGCATCTTTGGGGAAGTATTAATCTATGTAAGTTAGAGTTGTCAAACATTTATTTGTATCAGAATTGCATGGGCCTTCTGTTCAAAATGCAAATTCTTTGTCCCTCCCCCTTAACAACCAAATCAGAATCTCTTAGATGAGACCTAAGAATCTGTACTTGTAATAAGCACCTGCCACTCTTTTGTTTATTTTAACTTTCCAGAATGCTTTTCATTCCCCCAGAAACAGTCTGTTTCTTACCTCTCTGGTTTTATCCATTTTGTTTCTCCTTCTAGAATCCCCCATTGTTTCTCCTTCTAGAATCCCCCGGTCTTCTCTAGTGAATTTTCCTGCATCCTTTTATACCATGTCCTCTGTGAAGGCTTTCGCCCATGAGAATATAAAGCCCCTTAAGGTGATGGAATGTATTTTATTCATTTGAATATTCCAGTCCTAAGTCCAGTCTCGCTGCCTTGTAAGTTATTAAATGGATGAACAGACAGATTGATGGATGGAAGGATGGAGGAAAAAAATAATCTTTATAAAGTCCCACCATGTCTGTAGTGCTGGTGATCGAAAGTTAAACAGAATCTCTGAATCCCTTCATCACCATCCTCAGTCTGTTCTGTACCTTCATAGAGTTTAATTTTCTCTGTTTAATTTTCCAGTGTGGAATGTTAGGGGTCAGTAAAAACCACCACCCTCCACCATTGCCCTAAAGGTCTTCATCAGCATCCTGCTCACCTCTGTCATTTGCCCTTGGATTATATTGTTGCCATCTTTTGAAAAAATTTATCTTTAGGAGCCACTTTCTCTGTTAGAATTCATTTCCTCCTCTTCCTCCTCCCCCTGATTCCAGCCTACTTCTCTCTCTCTCCGCCCCCCCCCCCTTTTTTTTTTTTGATCTTTGTTCTGCCGTGAGTCATTATCATGGAAATGATCAAGATGTCTGTCAGGATAAAGTAAAAGAATAATTCTCTGCAAACAGCAGACCCCGGGTGGATGAGAAATGGGGAGTTCTGCTTAGCATTAGGGCTTTGAATCCCAGGCATATTTCTGTGTTCTTGCCTGGGCATTGAGAGGAGTTCAGACTTCACCTCCTCCCCTCTGTGATCCAAGGAAATGGGACCGGAAAATACTGACAGATGTGAAGGTTTCAACCTCAGTTAGGTATGAAAGCATATAAACAGCTGTTGATCTCTGCCATTGAAACACAGGGGGAAAGAAAAGCTTTCATCTGTTCCCGGATCCTAGTTTAACTAGGATGCCCGTACTATTTTGAAGTCCAGCGTTCTCAGTTGGGAGCATACCAAACAGATGTGGCTCCCTTGTGAACCACAGTCTCCTACACTCCCCCTTGATCCCCTTAAGCTTCCTTTGTGAAAAAGTCAACAGATGTCCCTGTGAAAGCTTCTAAAACCTCCTTCAGTGCAGAAGCAGAGGCCACCTCCTCTTGCACTGTATCTCCTCAACCACTTGTAGAGATAACAGCAGGAAAATAGCTACATCGTTCTTTATTCTATGGCCTATCTAGTTAACAATAATTTTTATGTTCTAGCCCTCAGCTTCTCTGTTTTTCTGTTATATAATAGGACGTCATATCTTAGTTCTAACACTAAGAAAAAAAATGAGTGGAAAACTTAGAGCTCCTCCAACTCAATGTTTTTAAAAAGTCTCTGAACAGGAGGAATAAGAACATTTAAAAATTAATTACATGATCTCACCTACCTTTATGGTTTTAGAATAGTTGGGTGTCATGCAAGGAGAGAGCAGGGAAGGAAAGCAAGAAAGGTGGTGGGGGTGGGGGACTCATGTCTGTTGGGCTTGCTAAGTGCCACTGTTAATCTTTCTTAATTCTTGCAACAACTCAGTTAATTAAAATTCCATTTTACCAGTGAGGATGCTGACATTTAAATAAGCTAAGGGGCTTTCCCAAGGTTGTACAGCTAGTAGGTTATTTAGAAGTCAGAGTTGGGGTTCAAGAGTAGCAAAAAATCCATGCCCTTATCTCCCACTACCATTTATAGCAGGAATCATTATTTGCAAATTTTCCTTCACATGGCTAAAGATTTCTCAATCAGTGGTTCTAGGAGGTTGTCTAGGATGGAGAAAATGTTACAAAACCTGACTTTGTTATAACTTTTAAGGAAGTGATTCTTTTTTGGGTTTTGTTTTATTTTGTTTTTGTTTGCTCCTGTTTAAAAAAAATCACCTACAAAATGCCTGAAGTGTATGTCCAGGCACTGGAAGTGTTTCCATGTTCCATTCTGAGATCGGGGAAGGGATGACTTAGCCTCATGAAAACACTTTGTGAGCCCATAATGACCTATTACTATGGTTCATTGATTCTTTCATTTAATAAATGCTTGAAAAGCTCCTGCTCTGGAGCAGGATCTGTTTTAGGCACTGAGAGAGCAAAGCAGAGTTCATGTCCTTGAGCAGCTTCCATAATGTGCAGAATGTCAAGTTGCTCTGTAGGTTTTTCCAAAATGGGTAGTTTGTTCAGTGATCAAGTGCATTGTAGAAATAGTTGCATCCCTTTGGCTACCTTTCTCATGAGGCTACAGCTGAGTTTCATCCTCTCTCAAAATATTGTGGCAGGAAACATGAGACTATAAAACTGTCCGTGGGGAGAGCTCTTCAGACATGAGGTATCAGGGAACTGGGTTTATAATTAGCCTTTAAATTTTATTTTTTTCACTTTTTTTTATTATGTTCAGTTAGCCACTGTATAGTACATCATTAGCTTTTTTTTTTTTTTTAGATTTTATTTATGTGACAGAGGGAGAGATCACAAGTGGGCAGAGAGGCAGGAGGGGGTGGGGGAGGGGGTGGGGGTGGGAAGCAGGTCCCTGCTGAGCAGAGAGCCCCATGTGGGGCTCAGTCCAGGACCCTGAGATCATGACCTGAGCGGAAGGCAGAGGCTTAACCCACTGACCCACCCAGGCACCCCACATCATTAGTTTTTGATGTAGTGTTCAGTGATTCTTTAG